CGTCGCTCGGTAGATGCTGAATAAGATATGCAAATAAGATACGTTGCTTCTACACAAACACCTTTGAAAAATCCTCATCAAAAATTCATAACCACTTATTATTGATGAGGAATTTGAAAACGGGAAAAAGAAATGCAAATCGGATCTGTAAAGTATACAGACCGAGGGCTGTGTGTTTTTATAATATTACAACCCTGTAATAGGTTCTCGTAAGTCGAAGAATCGTCACTGGAGTATTTACAATTTTGAGAAAAAACATGATCTCACACAGTAAATATGTTTCTTAGGCAACGCTGTTTGAAGGATACCTTCATAGGGACTTCATAACACATGCATAAGCATTGAATAATATATTTCCAATTAATTTTTTTTATGCGCAGCTTATGCAAGTAATGTCAGGATGACATTACATGACATTACAATGTACTAACATTATGGGCCCCTATTTATATACATATATAATAATAATTATCCTACGTATCGCTGTTGTCGGAAGAAATCCTTGTATCTCTATTTATGACGTTTTTTCAGTTTTTGACATAATTTGAAAGTATCTGTTACCCTTTACATTGTATGTAAATTTCATGATGAGTGGACTTAAAGAAATGATCCAAAATGACTTGGAAAGACGTCTGGTTCCATTGACTTACATTAAATGTAAAGTAGGTTTTTTACTTCTCCTGTAAAGTTACCATTTTGGAGATACAAGACTTTCTTGTGACAACAGCGATATACATTTTTCAGTGTTTTTAAAATATAAATTGCTTCTTTGATGTGAATTTGAAAGATCTTGCCTCATCATGAGTTTAATTTGAAATAATAACACCAATAATTGTGCTATCTCACATTTTTATGTCACCACTGAAACAAAAAGAGTTTTAGTCTACAGGGAGGTACTTATTTTAGCCACACCCCTGCGTTTTAAAGCAGGAAGTGAGGCTGCATCCCTGTCCTTCATGGTCATATGGCGAGCAGTTAGATCCTATTGTTTTAAAGTCTAAAAATCAGTGTAGCATTAACCTTTTCAACTCCTTGGGACCACTGGTGGTTCCAAAATGTACTTCGTCATATTCTTCATAACTTTCATATTTCATAAGCTACATCCAAAAGGTGGGGGTCGTATGAGAGCTGTAACTGTCTTCTTTCCAGTCAAATAGATGGGTGATGTAATTTTAAACCCTTATAATAAAAGAAGCTGAACTCACATTTTTTTTTTTTTTCTACTGAAAGTCGACCCATTTTTCCACAAATCTGGGCTATAAACTATAAACAGACGGCGTCTCCTCAGTGATCTGCTCTGTAAAAATTATTTTTTATAAAAAAATACAAACAGCGTCTAAGATTTTTGGCTTTCAGCAGTAAGTTGTAAGCATATAGCAATTCGTGTATGATCATAAAACACATTTTCTGTTAATTTTGGGGGAGCTTTTACAAAATAAATAAATAAATAAATAAAATAAAAAATTACATTTATTTCATGCAGTTACTGAATAATTTCCCTTATGATTGGTCATGTAAATTCAGATGGAAAAACCAAAATATACCCTGGTCAATAAGAATTATCACTACTGAAACACATATTTTCTTTTTTATGTTTTAATGAAATTATTATGATTTTGTGTACGTACAATTCTCTATAGCTGTGTTTGCTAGTCAGGTACTGGCTAACATTTTTGAGTTATGCTCAAAATTAGCTAAAATTTGCCACTTCTGAAATGTTTCACTAATGACATGATTTGTGTGTTAGTGACAAAATAGAATGTTCGGTCATATGTTTTAATAAAATAAACATTATTCAACATAAAGTCACTCAAAGCAAAAGGATTTATGTCTAAAGTTCAAGTCAGTTAAAAGCCTGAAATGTGTTTTCACCTCTGACATTGAACCAGTTTGGTATTGTGGTCCATATATAATGCTTTTAACTGGGAATTATGCTTCATGTGTTATAAGTGGAACAAATATCCATTTGATTAGATCAATATAATGTCAATTACTTCATAAATCTTTACTTCAACACTGCTACATAACAGTTACGAAACAATGTGACATCTGCAATGATGTTTATGGGCAGTGTCAAATAAATCACTGCGGTTATTGGTATAAGCTGCTCATTAATACTTAAATGATGCTTTATATAAATGTTACACAATGCTTATGCATGTGCTGTGAAGTTCCCTATGTAGGCATCCTTTTTATTTTTACTGTTTATTATGATGAAACTGACTGGAACACAGCCATTGGTTGACTTCACAGGCAGTTCTGTCAGATGTTAAACTGCAAATGGCCTAGAAGGAGAATAATCTGTGCATGCGAATTCTACCTGACTGCATCTTTGCGAGCGAGTTTGAGCCATTTTATATGCAAAAGCTGAGTGCAGTACATTTAACATGCTACTCACTGTAGCAAAACTAATCCCAGCTTGGTTGCCCAAAACTGTCATCGTACAACAATCATTGTTCTATGGTGGAGCGAGCATCGCTTTGAGGACTCTCACCGCCATTCCATGCCATGTAGAGCAGGCCATATTGAGATTAAGCGGTGTGAATTAGTGAGCACCCCTTTGCCTCTGTGTCATGCTCATTTTTCAAACGTAGCTCTATTTTTTTTCTAGCTCGGTGCCATGGGCTTTAGCCTCAAAATGTCAATGCAAGTGAACGTCTACAGCATCTGTTCCCTTTGAGTTAAAAAATTTAACACGAAGCAAACTTTGCATCGATGGAGGAAGAACTGTTGCATTACGATTATTGCTACATCATCGAGCTGGTAGAAGTTTTGCAAAGAACTACACGAAGCTGACATTTTATGTTTAAAAAAAAAGAAAAACCTTGAATTTCACCTGAAACGGAAAGACTGTCTCATGCCTTGGCTGTCTCTGTAGAAAACTTTAGAAAAATCCTGCCTTTTCAATTGCTTATACAACCTTCACCTCACCCAGCCTCATTCACACTGCTCGTATTTATATTCAAAGCAGGTTATTTGAGGTTGTGGCTTGGGTATGAAAAAGATAATCTGCTCAAAAAACGCAGTGCAGTGTTTGAAGCGTTTGATTTGGAGCGGAAATCGCTGGGTGTTATACACTATTAGACCCAATGCTGTTCGTGTGAAAGGGCTCCATTTCAATCTTCCATTTCGAAACTGGAAGGTAAGCAATCTCCGTTTTGGACAGTATATTCGAAGAAAGCGGAAAATACTTTTTATCTCATCGTATCGGTGACAGATGAATAGTGAAAAAGTTCATTTGGTTGGCCTGACCCTTCACTCCTCAGAATAGAGTGACATCCATGATTGAATGCTGGAGAAAATGTTTTTTTAGAACTTCTTCTGTTCAGTTTATGCGCTTCCACTGGAAGAAATGTGAAAGGATTCATGGCTATGACAGTCTAAATTCTTCAAAGTTGCGTCAGTTCCTAAAACATAACTTAACAGACCAGTCAAATACACAGGGAGAGATTGTGCGATTTGATTGGCTGTTCTGAATATCTGTTAGACAGATATTGGAGTTTTTAAACACTGTGTCCATTCACTGTCCACTCTATTAGACACTCCTACCTTGTCAGTCCACCTTGTAGATGTGAAGTCAGAGACGATAGCTCATCTGCTGCTGCACAGTTTGTGTTGGTCATCCTCTAGTCCTTCATCAGTGGTCACAGGACACTGTTGGCTGGATATTTTTGGTTGGTGGACTATTCTCAGTCCAGCAGCGTCATTAAGGTGTTCAAAACTCCAGCAGCACTGCTGTGTCTGATCCACTCAGACCAACACAACACACACTAACACACCACCACCATGTCAGTGTTACTGCAGTGCTGAGAATGATCCACCACCCAAATAGTACCTGCTCTGTGAGGGTCCATGGGGGTCCTGACCACTGAAGAACAGGGTAAAAGGGGGCTAACAAAGTATACAGAGAAACAGATGGACTACAGTCTGTAACTGTAGAACTACAAAGTGCACCTATATAGTAAGTGGAGCTGATAAAATGGACAATGAGCGTAGAAACAAGGAGGTGGTCATAATGTTATGCCTGATCGGTGTATCTAGTCATCAAGCAAAGTGTTCATTTTGGACCCTAGACATACTATTGAGATTTGATAATAAAAATGAATTTGATTTGATAAGATGATTTGATAATTACTGAAAAACATGATATTAACTTAGTTATGAGAAGGAGAAAACACAGTGTGGGTCCATTTACAGACCCTTATGCTTTAAGTCAATGAGGTGCATTTGAAAACAACTGTCTGATGGAAAATAAAAATAAGAATTGTCTGATTGTGAAATAAAAGGTGTTGCATTAGGAATATACATTATGTAGTTATATGAAGACTTTTCATGTAACATTAATGTTGGTCTTTATTACAGTGGATGGTACAATGCTTTTTTAAGTGCTGGTGCTGAAAATTCCCCTGCACTAGAACAAATTCTGTGTGTAAAATGAGATGAAGATAAGATATATACAGAGTACACCATTCTTGGAGTGCTGGAGTTTAGTGACAGTAGAAAAGATTGAAAGTTTGGCTAGTAAAAATGAATACGAAGCTGAAGCTATTTGATTTCTAAGCAGGCTGTCTGAAACTGCTTCAAACAATCTTAAAATGTGATATCACTGGTTATATATATATATATATATATATATATACTTTTCCTTTTTTTCAAATATACAATTCCATGGCCATTTTAATCTGCAGATCTAGGTGTCCTTGTATGTTGTTCCATTTGCAATTATATTTTCTCAATAAACAAAAACATATGCTGTCTAGAGACACTTCTTCTGCACGCTGTTTCTGATGTTATCTGTGCTCTTCCCTTACTGTGTATGTTCTCTCGGCACATATTCTGAATGCAAACAGCCTGAGAAGCATCAAAGTGAGCAATTACTTGGAAATTTCGACAAGAGCCCCTTCTATTTTCTAGAGGATGATAAAAAAGAACAAAAAAAGCCTTGTGATATGGTAACATGGTGCAATATGGGCTAATATATATGTATCTTCTTCTTACAGTTGCACTCCAATTCAGATAAGGGTGATGGCTCAGTTCGGTACCTCCTCTCTGGAGAAGGAGCAGGGACTATCTTCACCATTAACGAGGTGACAGGAGACATCCATGCCACGAAAAGCCTGGACCGCGAGAAAAAAAGCCACTATGTTCTCCACGCCCGCGCTATTGACCGCTTCACCAACAGAGCCGTGGAGCCCGAGTCCGAGTTCATCATCAAGGTTCAGGATGTGAATGACAACGCCCCCACCTTCCCCGATGGGCCGTTCGCCGCGTCTGTACCAGAGATGTCAGACATAGGTGAGACAGTGTGTCTGTTTGTGTGGGTTAAGGCTGAACATGGGGAAAAACACTAGGAGGCTTTTATATTATATCACACTGTGATTGTGGCTGGGCTGATATGATTAATTCGATCAATTAATATCTCAATGATTCAGCAAGATAAGTCAGCAGTTGCACAATGACAATGTATGTGATAATTTAAATGCCCCTACTGGTCTTTCTTATGAAAGAAATAGATTGATTTATATCCTTATTTAATGCATATAGTGTTAAAACGTCTTAGTCATCCTTCTTATTGATTTCTTTTGTCAGTAATATACTCCGGAATCTTTGAAAGGCTATGCATTGCCCATTTTATGGTAACAAGTTGTGGTGAACAGGGGCCAAAACTCAACAAACCCCTGTCTTGGAGTAAAAGTTGGGTTGGAACAGTGAATTTTGAAAATTTAAGTAACTATTTTTGTAGGAAAACCATGTAAATTTGTCTTATTTTATTCTAACGTTTGTGCATGAAATGAAGTGTCTGTTGCATGGAAAGTCATGTTGCATCAAGGTTTATCCACCCATAGTAAAGCGTGATAATGCACACTGTGTGTTTGGAATGTGAAAGTAGCCAAGAAACTCCGGAATTGGTAGGAAAAATGGTGTTTGACTTTCAATTTTCCTCAAACATTTGCACCATTCATTTGTATATTTACTTTATCTGATGTAATCAATATTTTTGGTGATTGGTGTGTTTTTTTTTTTTAATTACCATCAGTGAGCTCAGTTTAAATTGTCTTGGGAGAAATTAACACTTCAGCCAGTGCGATTCCAGTTGAAGGTAATGACTGATACTGAGTTAACCATCCTAATGTCAGCCATTCATTACAAGCTGGCTAGTTCTCTAAACAGTCTATGATTTCAGTTAATCTAAATTAATAGGAACTCTACACTGAATATCATTGATAAAGCAGATCACAACATGAAAGAGGCAGTTTAGTATTTTGGTTGAATAATACTGGTTGTTTTGACAATCACTTGATGCTTGGCTGGTTCTTTGTAGACTCTGCCTTGATGAAAGACCTATTTGGATTTCTTATGTTATGTTGCTTATGGTAGTTTATGGTTATTTCACTAAAAATAATACTGAATTTTAAAAGATGTTTTTTCATCAACTTTTAGAAAAGTGTCTGCACTACCTTGATTTGGTGAACCAATTCAGTGATGGTTTCAAACATTCAATGAGCCAGATTTTGTTCTTCCTCTTCAAATTTTCTTGCTGTGAATGGAAATGGTATCATCTGTATTTGAGAAAGAAATGCTTATTTAAAGACTGAGGTTTAAGCAGGTAAACTGTTTATGTGGGTGAATTCCTGGTGTTTCATCAAAGCTTTAATGATAAGGTCTGTAATGAAAATGCCTTGGCTGAGTAGAGCCTTATTTACAACAGTCAGTCAAAACACATTTGTTGGCAACATGCAGAATGCAGTGTATTTTATTATTTAAGCTCTAATAAAATAGGTTGGAGACTGGTGATGTGAGGAAGTAACGTTAAGCTTCTAGGCAAGATAGAAGCCTTCAAGCTTTCACCTCTGGAAATATCCTAGTATTTTTAATGCAGGATGTGCACTAGATAAAAGATTTATTAGTGGATTATAAAATCCAAATAATGGTTATTTTTAAGTAGTATTTCAGTGTGTGCTAAAATGTACCAGAAACAGCCATTTCAGGATATGTTCTGCCAAAAAAAAAGAGAGAAACTGATTTTCCATTATGCCATTTCACCCTTAAATATACAAGAACATTATAAAGCCCTTGTAATGCTCTTATAAAGCTTTATCAAGTTGGTAGCTGATAATTAAGTGGCTGCTTATTACTAGTTAATTAAACAATAATCGGTTAGGATACAAATATAATACACTCAAACTCATTTCTAAAAAGTTGGGATGCTGTGCAAAACGTAAATAAAAACAAAATTCAAACGTGCAAATCATTTAAAAGCTATATTTTATCGAAAATAGTACAAAGACAACAAATCAAATGTTGAAACTTTGATGCCAACAACACATTTCAAAAAAAGTTGGGACAGGGGCAGCAAAAGGCTGGTAAAGTTGTGTAATGTTAAAAAAAAAAAAACACCTGATGGATAATTGGCAACAAGTAAGTAACATGATTGGGTATAAAAAAGCATCCCAGAGAGGCTGAATCTTTCAGAAGTAAAGATGAGGAGGGGTTCAACACTCTGTGAAAGACTATGTGAGCAAACAATTCAAGAATAACATTTCTCAACATAAAATAACAAAGAACTTTTGCTTTTCATCGTCCACGGTACATAATAACATTAAACGATTCAGAGAATCTGGAGAAATCTCTGTTTACAAAAGGCCAAAAAACAGTATTTGCTGGTCGTGATCTTTGGGCCCTCAGGCATGACTCTGATGTGGAAATCACTGCATGAGCTCAGGAACACTTCTGAAAACCACTGTCTGTGAACACAGTTCGTCACTGCATCCACAACTGCAAATTAAAACTCTAAATGCAAAGAAGAAACCATATATAAACCGGATTCAGGAATGCTGCCACCTTCTCTGGGCCCGAGCTCATTTAAAATGGACTTAGGGGAAGTGGAAAAGTGTTCTGTGTTCCAAAAAATTAACATGGACACTGTGTCCTCCGGGCTAAAGACCACTCAGCTTGTTATCAGTGCACAGTTCAAAAGCCAGTATTCACGATGGTATAGGTTTGCATTAGTGCAAATGGCATGGGTGACATGCACATCTGTGAAGGCACCATTAATGCTGAATGATACATTGGTGTATATTAAAAAGAGTCCAGGTACTGAACTGTCCTGCCTGCAGTCCAGACCTGTCACCCACTGCTCACATTTGGTGCAATATGAAATGAAAAATGACAAGAATGGGAAAACACTTCACTTTTAAAACTACAGTGATTGATCTCCTGAGTTCCCAAACACTTACAGAGTGTTGTTAAAAGGTGATGAAACAGAGTGGTAAACATTTTTGGAACGTGTTGTTGGCATAAAATTCAAAATGAGCATATAGTTTTTAAAAAAAAAACTAAAAAATTTCTGTTTCAAAATTTGATATGTTGTCTTTGAAGTATTTTCCTTTAAAAATATGGTTTCCATGATTTGGGTATCATTGCGTTCTATTTTTATTTACATTCTGCACAGTGTCCTGACTTTTTTGGAAATGGGGTTGTACATAGCAAGAAATAGCAGGACTTCTATCTACCTTTATGGTTAGACTGAAGAGAGACAAAGTGTCAATGAGTAATTTGGCTTAAAAAAGCATTTACTTGCTTTACTGTTTTTGGCTTCTTAGCTCTGAAAGCAACAGAGATCTCATTCAGAAAAAGACCTAAAAAACCACTGACTATGCTGGTTTATTCCTCATACACATCACACATTGTGTGTGTTTTAGACCAGCACTTATTTTCTTGTCTCTGAGTGAGTGTCATATGTGATCCAGAGCAGAATGATTTGTCTAAAAGTTCAGAAAAGTGGAGTTTCAGTGCATTAGATTATATAATTTTAAACAATAATACAAGATTTAACCATATTCTGCTATATCTTAAAATTTCAGCTCATTTAAACGATTATAAATAGCTGATAGTATACATATGTATACATACCAGGCCATTCTTGCTGTGAGGCGACAGCGCTACCCACTGCGCCACCGTGCCGCCTGATATATATGTCGATCTATAAAATAAAAACAGTTTCAAAAGTACTTACTGACCTTGAGAAAACTCACTGGCTATTAGAGCTTTAGTGCTCTGCATGGATCCGAAAGCAATAAAATATATGTCTGCTTTATGCCATTAGATTTTTATTCAATAAAAAGCAATACTCAAAAATAAAATAAGTAACCAAGAAAATTATTGTATTTTCAACCCATATAAACTTTAGTTTAACAATTTCTGAAACTCACAGTGGAGGATTTTTTGGTATTGTGTCATGAGCACCTTTATTTTACATTCAACAAGCAACACTTGTGCCTTGAGACAGAGCAGAGATACATTGTTATAAATAAGATAATGGTCACTTTTCAGCATCCATGATGCCTCAGACTTCTGATACTGATGTCATGGGAGCTCAAGTCTCTTTCAGAGGAGCTGAGCTCTTGCCTTCTAATACAAATGCTGATGTAACTGTTGGTTTTGGTTGCTTGTTTGGACTACATGTCTTAAACATGAATCCAGTCCACAGAATTGCCTGCAGTTTCAACCATTGTGGTGGTCTAATGCAGTGGGATACACTCTTCTCTTTTACAGCATGTGCTTGTTCGCCATATGTATGAGACGGTCTGCGTTTGGTTGGTAAAAAACAGTGGTGTGAGTGGTTGACAGAGGTGTAGAGATGGCGATCAAGGTGAAGGATGAAATGCATAGAATGTGCTGTAAATTAAAATTATTTATACAAGTAACAGGACAATGGTCGATAAATGTAACAGACAAAAAAGTAGCTTTTTCCTTATAAAGGTATTTGCATAGAAGTATAAAGTGTTCTCAGTTAAAATGACTGATATACATACAATTATTGAAACAAGTTATGTAAATGAGACAGAGCAAAGATAACGCATTGCTACCCACCTCTGCTAATATAATTAATAGTGACACTGCTAACTGTGACATACCTCACCATGTACTACAAACACATCAGCACACCCCTGATGTGGAATGATGCATGGCTGGTCTGCATTATTTTTATTTTAAAATGTGAGTTTTTTTGATCACATGAATGCTTTGATTAACTTTATTATTATTATTATTATTATTATTATTTATTATTATTATTAGTAGTAGTAGTAGTAGTAGTAGTAGTAATAATAATCACAATAATAATAATAATAATAATAATAATAATAATAATAATAATATGTTTTACAAATCATCTCTAAAGTAATATCTGGAGAGAGAGGGGCAGAGAGTGAGGGGGAGAGAAAGGCAGAGAGAGAGAGAAGAGAGAGAAAGAAAGAGAGAGGGGAAGGAATTAGAAATTGAGAGAGAGAGGG